GTGCAAGGTCGATCTGATTTCCCCGAATGCTTAAGTGTCCTTTTAACCAAATCAAGAATACTTTTCAAGCATACGAGAGTCTTGAGAGATACAAGATGTTAATAGTCGAGGTTTCGAGATTTTGTTATCGAATGTTTCTCACACTTTTACTTTTAGCTGGTTTTCTAAAGTAAAAACCAAATGGATTATAGTCGTCACTACTCTCTCGATTACCTAGGAATAGAAAAGTAACTATTGGCGCCCCGTTAAATTACTTTGGGGAACTCAACTGATGATTAGCATCAAGGCATTAAAGTGACAACTGCTGGGACATTCTGTATATTTTGGTATAAGTGTATGCCAGAGTAACAGGCTCTTCTACTAGTTCCAGTACCCTTTAGTTAGGTTTACTTTATAGTTTAGTTGCATTCGCTTGCGTGATTTAGTGTTAGTACTATTCCCGTTATGTATGTGTATTTATGTATTTCTGTAATTTGTATTTTATGCAATATATACTATTATTATACATACAAATTTCAACTCAATACACACACACACACATACAAATATGCATATTGCTAAGGTACTTACGATGGCCACACACCCACTGGTACATTTTTTAAGTATATAAAAAGCATTTTCATGTTCGACCCCATAACAGCAGTTGAGTAGAGAGTAATGAGCGGTGTATGGCTACTCATTTCAACTACCACTACTACTTGACTCTACTCTTTTTTACTTCCCTGCACTTCTGAAGGTAGTCCCCAAGAAGTTCTAGTACTGATTTAGTCCAAAAAGGAAATCAATTGGACAATTGATTCTTGTATCCCTAAAGCACATAAAAAAGGTTCAAAATAACTCCTCTGCAGTTTACTTAGATAGACTAAAATAACGATTGACTACCCGCTAGATTACTTGGGTACAATAAAGAGATTACACATTATATTCAATACAAAAGAATTCTCTTGGGTTAAGTAATTTCTAACTTTCTTCGGATTACTTGGACTACCCACTTAACTCTTTCTAAAAGGTTTATAAATTAGTGTCAATCAGGTATTCAGACAATTACTCTTTAAAAACAACAGCTGGGTCTTCCAACACAACTACAATACAAAATATGTATAGCAGGCTGGCTGATACTAAAAATGTTAAGCAAATAAATACCAAATGTACATTCCTGTATCCTTTAAAAATAACACAAACTCCCATACTCACAACATTAATAGGAGGAAATGAGAATAAAAAATCGAGTGCCAAGTATCTGAAGAATTCAATATACATACATTCTCTGCTAGACCAAAAACTATTGGCTTGTGATCCAAAACGAAGGAGGCATAAAAGGGTTTTTAGAAAAGAATAAACAGCAACAAATACAACAGTAAAAAAATCAGCCAAGTTATTCATAGATGGTCCATTGAAGTGGTAATATTTTCTTTTTTTCGTACAATAAGTTTTGCCTGCTCCTTTTTTTATATATTTTTAAAATTGTTACGAATGAGTAGCAGTAACCCAATATAAACATTTTTATTTATAAAAGAAAACACTTGAACTATTTTACAAATCATAGGAATGATCTATTTTTGTTGCCTTTTTTTCCTTCTTATCCACTTTTATTTTTTTTCATTTAAGTGAAAATTGGAACAGTGTTTTTTAAATATTTTTTATTAAAGATTTATAGATTTTGTAATCATTATGGGTTTTGGTTTTGTATACATAAATATATATTAACCCTTGTATTCATAAAAGACAAATAAAGTTGTTGTTGCTTTATTAGAAGAAGTGCGTAATATATACGCCTTTGATTAACTTTATGTTCACTGGATAGAAATTTATGAAATTAGTAAATTTTTTGAATAACTTCCTCAAAAAAAATTAGACACAAGCTACTTTTAAGCTTTATAAGCTAGGATATATGAGAATAGTGAGAGAGAGCAAATGCTCTTTCCGCTTTTTATAATATACATGGACTTTTTATATTGATGAGTTTCCGTTTTATATTCCCTACTTTTGCAGCTTAAAAGCGCTTAAGACTGCAACTGTTTCGAAACGGTGATAAGGTAGTGGTATCGGTATTTTGACTTATTTGTATTTTGGCTTATTTCGGTATTGGTATTTTAGCGTTATCGGTATTTTGACTTATTTCGGTATCTGTATTTTAGCGGTAACGGTAGTTGTGTAGAAAAGGTATTTTAGCGGTAACGATAGCTTAGCGATAACGGTTGCCAACCTTGCTTTACACCGATAAAATTTCATAAAGATAAAAATTGAAAATTTCGGAATTTATCAGCAAATATCCAATATATTTTCTTGATAAAGTCTAAAAGATTTCCGGAATCATAGCTTTATCCCATCTTTCAATATATTGACAGTTTTTAAGGATCATGGACGCTAAGATAACTTGCTCTGCAAAAGTTGTGCCATTTACTGATAAAGTTATATTTAAGTTATTATCTCTACCATGGTTCTGCTGGATCTCCTGTACAATTATATTAAGCTTAGGGTGCTATAGAATCCAGAATTAGCCAAATGAAACTTTTCAGTCCGTTCTACTGTTTTAGAATCTGTAGCTCTGTAGATCTTTTAAAGATCACCGAAGATCTTTCCTTTGAAAAAGGAACTTACGTATATAACTTGAATTTACTCGACACGAATTTTTAGATATATAAGAATCGAATTCAGTCGGAACACTTTCTTTCGAATCCAAGCCATTAGTTCCTATTCGGAAACTGTCCTATTTGAAAACACCAAAGTTCGGTATTGGTATCATGCCCATGCGCTAAAGAAAGTTGTCGATATAAGGTAGCCGAACATAGTGCTTTGAATCGTAGCCAATAACACCTTTACCGAAGTCCAGTGTTCCGAAAATGTTTCCCTCCATCAGAACATTTTACGTATACAACTTTAACTAACCCGAATGAAATTTGGCAATATAAGAAATCCGAATTTGAGGGATTAATTTCCTTTAGGTTCTGACCATATATTACAATTTAAAAACTGTCATAATGTCACTGGTTTAACAGGGAAGTCCATTATCCCAAACTAATTTTCTAAACATCCTACCTTTCGTCAGAGGAACCTATGTATACAAATTGAACTCACTAGAACCAAATTTGTCCTTTTCTTTGAGATTCCAGTCATTCTATTTTTTCCTATTCGAAAACTGTCATGAGGGTTTCACAATAAAGTCTAGTATCGCAAACTAATGGTCCAAAGATCTTTCCTTCATCAGAGGAACTTCCGCATCAACTTGAACAACTCGAATAAAATTTGTCGATATAAAGGAAACACCGAAAAGTCTTCTCTGCGTCAAAGGAATCTATGAAATGAATAAAACTTGAAATTTATGGATCTAAATGAAAAATATAGTAAAACTTGAGAGATTAACTTTTGTCTGCTTAGCCTTTCTTTCGAGATCAAGTAAATCTAATGCCGAAATTTTTGAGAGATTGAAATTAAACCATCTATAAAGTGAAAATAATAATAATTATAAACTTTATTGTAATTTTTGCTGAAACTATAAAAAGCTTTATTCCTCTAGTAAACAATTCAATACTTCAAAGACATTTTAAGTAAATATCCATTGTATGTAATGTTTAAATAAGTACAAAATAACTCATTCAGCATTGTCACCATATAGAATTGTCAAAAAATTTTAATTAAATAAGAATTATGTACATATTTCTTTTATTTATTTAAATCCCTCAAACCAGCTATAAATGTTAATTATCAATCAAAGTGAAAAGGAAAATTCTACCAAGCAATACAAAACCCCAAATCTTTAACACAAAATTGTAAAAATAATTGGAAAATTTTTTGTGACAAAAACAAAAAACAACTCTATTTTTCAACTTAATGAATGACCAGTAGATTTTGATGATATATTTTTTATGGTATTTATTGTTTAGTTATTTATCAAAGACGAATTAAATACTTTTACTTAAGCATTTATTTTGAAAAACACTACTTCAGTCTCTCTCTCTGTCTAAGAAAGCTTTAGTTTGTTTTAATTTTGCAATTAAATTTTACAAACCATAAACTTATGAAGTGGTAAAACGTCTTCAGTAAATCAAAGTCAAAATAGAAAACAAGTCAGAAAGTTAGGTCTGTCAAGTCCTTTTAATGATGCCCTATAACAGCTGAGGGTAAATTTTGAACGATTTTTCGGAATTAATAAAGCTTGAGTTAGTTATAGACAAAGTTTGAGGAAATTTACTAGGAATTTTACATGAGCATTTCTAAAAGATTTTGGAATGGGACTAAATTCTTATAATGGTACGAATCCACAGAAAAACACTTATTATTTTGTGATTTATTATAATAACAGGACAGACGGAAATTAAACAAGAATTCAGAAAATCAGTCGAATGCATGTTCAATATCTGTGATCATTACAATTCTAATCATAAACGCATTATACCGCCTTTAGGGTATGTTAGTTACTTTAATACTTTAAAGTAGTACGTGGATAAAACTAAGTAAATTACAAAATTACCAAGGTTTTTTTTTATTTATTTTTTTGTTTTTCCTTATAGTCAATTCATTAACGAAATTGTACGAATAAGAAAATATTTTAAATGAATAGTAAATTTTTCTTTCCATTCTTTTACCTTTTTTTGAGTCAGCATTTTTGCCTTGATAAAGGTACAAAAAGGAAGCAGTAAAAAACATTCGTATAAGGATGAAACAAACAAAAAATCTAAACAAAAACAAATCCCTTTTAAGTAATTAGACTAAAGTAGAAATTAGAAAGATGTAAAACTTTACGACACAAACATTTACCAGTCAATGTTTTTGCATTATGGAAATGAAATTAAGTTTTTATAAATCTTTATACGAGTGAAAAAAGAAAACTAGAAAAAAATGTATCTTCCATCTAATACCATAGTGCGATAGCATCATCCTTTAGTTCATAGAAAACTATCACTTCAATTTACTTAACATGACATTTAAAACTCTTACCTTCCTCAGAAACATCTCATTACACTGTTTTGCAGTGCTGCGCCAATGTCGATGACGAAAACGTGAATTACCCAAATGTAGGGTCCCGTGCAGTTCGGCTGCTTCGTTAACGACACGTTTTATGACTTGATAACGTATGACATCATAACGGTGCAGTGGCTTGAGTGCCACCGTACCATGTTCGGGTTCTGATTCAGCACCCGATCTCAGTTGATCGTCATCTTCGTCGTCATGCCAAGCACTCAGGACTCCTTCGACAAAATTGTACAACAGTTCACCATTCGTTTGGGATGGCTGTGAACCGGACGGCTTTTGCTCATACTTAATTAATTTTCGATTCTGACACACTTCTCTTAAGAGATTTTCACCGAAATGAACGGTTTTGTGACGACGTCGACGCTCGTCTAGCGATGCCGCCGATGCAGACTTTGTGAGTTTTCCGTTGGTTCCATTTGCATGGCCGTTTTGGTGTTTTCGCTTTGCCACTACGGGGCCAGTACAAAGCAAGGCACACGATTCGCCGCGTTGGAGTGTGTTGGGCTGTGAGTTGCTGCGTTGGTCGGCACGCTTCGTTGATGAGAGCAACGATAATACTGGAGCGGCTGGCTCGATATCGTAAAGTAAGGCAGGTGGCTGTGCAAGGGTTGTGCGCAACCGATTGAAGTCGGCTGCACAGCGAGGCAGTGAGTTACACTTAGGAGCATTCAAGCATTTTCGATTCCGACAACTGAGCGGAGCACAATAACGGCAATCATGGCAGATAACAAACTTGCGCTTCTGCTGATTTTGAGCGGGCGGCACTTTTGACGATGGCGGTGGAGGAGCTGAACCGTCATCTGACGGAGGTACTGTGTGCATTTGAGCTTTTGTTAGTTGTTGATTCCGCAAGAGATTCAACGTTGATGACGACGATGGCATTTTTCGTTGGCTGGTCGACTGGCATTCGAGAAAACGACAATTGGGATCAGTGCAAATGGGCAGCAGGGGACATGAGGGATCTGTGCAGGGTGAGGGAGAGCGTGGCGCTCGCTCAGCAGATGATGATTTTCGTTTCAGTACGCCATTGTGTGAGGCGGTCATGTCAGATATGGTTGCCGACCGTTGTGTTTGATGCCTCCTAGAACGGTCCCTTTTCGACTCTCGCTGGCCTTGTTGTTGGGTTGAGGTTTTACTTGTTTTGGGTGGCAACTGGGGTGGCATTAACTCGTCTTTGGGTACGTACTGGTAACGTTCTTTGTGCGGCTTGGCATATAGCCGCTCTACATTTGTTGCGGTTGCAGGTGTTGGTGTCGAGACGGTAACTACTTCACTGGCCGAGTGTCGAAGGCGTCTGTCTCTTATTCGTTGTTCTTGATATCGACGATCTGAACAAATTTGTTGTGCAGAGGGCTGGGTTTGATGCTGCGTCTGTGACTGTGGTTGGGCCGACGGAGTTGATGATTTCTGTGGTAATTCTACAAAACTTTGATGAGATGAACGTCGGTCTACGGGTGTCTTGCCAATAGACTGCAAACGATTCAGCGGGTAGGCAATCCAGTCAGGTATGCTCTCTTCACTTCTATCACTGTAGCCAAGTGAATGTCGCTTACGGGCTGGATGCTGGCTGACATCGTCTTCATGCGAGTGTGATCGAGGTGTATCTCCACTACCGTTTCTTCGATGATGTGGTCTTCTAGTTTTAGCCGAAGCTTCTTCTCGAGCTGTTAAGGCTTTCGTTGACTTTGTTAGCCATTCCACTAGATCGGTTTTGAGTAGTGAAATTTCACCAGGCCCTGAACTTTGGCGCGACAGGGGTTTCTTCAGTAACTCGGTCAACTCTTCTTTTAAAGCCTTCGCATAGGAAGATGTGCTGGGTCGCGTTTCAGCCTGCTGTGGTGTGTGCTGTCGTTCTGCTACCGAACGTTTGCGTGGCAAATGCTCAAGGAGCCATTCTGGTAATTCATCCTTCATCACAGTTATTTCACTGGGACCAGATGAAGTTCGAGCGGGCACTCTCTGGCGTTCTAACCACTCCATGGTTTCCTCACGTACCGTACCACTTTCGGCTGAACGCGACGAATGCCTTTGTTGAGCTTTTCGATCAAACCACTCGAGCTCATCGGGAGATCGTTTGCAGTCTTTGGACACGGGAACTTCTTCGGCACTTTTCTGACGCCGAGGTGGCAGTTGAGGCTTCTGTTCTTCAGCATGCCTGTGATGATGCTTATGAGTGTGGGTGTGTATATGAGTGGCTGCTGAAGGATCTTTCTTTGGAGGCGCTTGTGGGGGTAATCTCTTGGGATCTCTGCATTTGATGAGTTTCTGCTCAATGGTATCTTCATTGCGAGCTCTTACCCGGCGTGTGATTTCGAAGATGTCGCCGTTTATTTGATGGTAAAACTTTTCCACTTCTACACCTTTATCGAACTCTTCCTTGACCTGCTGGACATTCAGTTTACTACGTGATGGCGGACGAGGGGGAGGAAGAGGAGGAGGAGCTTTCGAATCCTTATCGTCGTCGACAACATCATCATCAGATTCGGCTGACATCAAGAGGGCACCTTTGCCGCCTTCACCCACCACCCCACCGATAGTTCGTGCCGAAGAGGTGGCCGGATACAGCTTTTGCTGTAATTCCTCTTGTTGTTGCTGCTGAAGCAGGCGGTCGAGCGAGCCATGATGCGTTTTTATCGTCGGACCCAGAGTACCTTCGCCAAATGGCTGCAAACGACACTGAGCATTGCAGATGCAGACAGGACGTTTCTTGCTACCGAATCGAAACAGAGTATTCGCCAGTTGTGTCACACCATCGCCCAAAACGCTTCCTCCACTACTTGCCCCACCGCCACCAGCGGTCACATCCCTTCCCGAAGCCGTTGTTGCCGAAGTCAAACGTCCGGCCTGTGAAACTGGCGTTATGTCGACTATCACGCAACAGCAATGCAACGAGAAGGTCTTTTTATCGCAGCCACTGCCGCTAACAGAGTTATTGTTATCGCTTTCACTATTTTGTGAGGCTGCCAGAATGAGCGGCTTATGCAGCGATCACCAGTCGAATCTTTACGTCGCGACGTCCACGCGTGCCTTCGTCTATCTAGGGACAGTACTCGGGGATTCGACTGGAATGAATCGTGTTTGTGGGCAAAGTTAACGCAACAGTGGTCCAAATGCAAAAAGGAATGGCAAAAGTTTGCAACAGCAGCAATAGCAGCAGCGTAAGGTTTAGGTTGTTGGATTAGCAATAGCAATGGAAGTGGTAGTGGTAATAGAGCAAGGATACGTTTGGTTTTATAAATAATTTCTTCAGATGCATCAGCATACACCATTCCCACATCTATTGATAATCTTCGGTTGATAGTGTGTGTGTGTGGTTTTCTATGTTTTTGTGTCTTTTCCGATTTAATTTCGCTGAGTGCTTGACATTAACTTGTAAGTCTTAAATTTTTGGTAATTTGCTTATTTTCACTAATGTTTATTTTCAAATTCACTTCATCACTCTATAACGTTGACGTATGTATGTGTTTGTCCTTTGGAGGAAAACAAACACACTTACGGCGACGCACACTTGCACGCACGATTTTCAAAGTTTAAGGATTTGCATTCTAAGGAAGTTGTTCGAGTTGTTGACGTTTACTATTTCCTCAATTTAAAATCACGTTTGTACATTATTATTGTTGTTGTATTTTGATTTATTTATTTGTTATTTTTTGGGGGGTTTTTGTTTTGTTTATGAACAAATCAATCGATATGTTTGTTTAACGAAATGTTGCTAAAACTATAAAGAAAACAACGCTGAACACCTTGGAGTTTTAACGACTTTGAAAAACACGTTAATCGAATTACACAAATACGTATGCATGTGTGGTTGTATGTATTGTTTGTTTGCTTAGGTGTAAATGAATGAGCAGGGGTGTATGTTAATGTTGCATTTGTATGAAATTTAACTGATTGAATTAAATTTTATAAATCCGCCGAAGAGAGAGAGCGAGTACATGATGTAAAGAAGTGTATATGAATGTCTGTATAAGTGCAAGTTAGTGCGAGTTTATGTGAGTGTGTGTGTAAATGCAATATTTTACATTTACATGAATATAACGGTGAAGGACATTGGCAGATGTAGCGAATGCTTTTTTGGCGCAAGGACACCAACTACAATGTTTTTTTATTATTATTTTTGCACTACGTAAGAAAATAACAAACACATACATATACACTATATATAAACGTATACATACATATGTATGTATGCAGTTTATAATACACACATATAGATGTACAAATTCACATTAAAGTGAATGAGTGACGTGAATCTTTGTTGTATAAGTGAATATGTGATTTTTTTCTTGGTATAAGTATGTGTATGTTATATGCGTGTGTTTTAAGCGTAAAGAGAGTCAAGTATATGTATGCATGTACGTATTTTGTAATGAACATAAAAATAAAACTACCAACATTTTGCAACTAAAAATCAATATTATATTTTGTTTATTTGGAATTCTAATTATGATTTCATTTCTTCTGTAAAACATTTCTCTTATAAAGTTTAAAATTTGTTACTTTTGCTAATATAAGTAGTTTTTAAGTATGTTTATCTGTATTTAAATCCAAATTATTAGATTATCAATTTCTAATTTTAAAACAAGTTGATTAAGGAGCATTCTTATTGTAGGTGCTTTAAATTGGAAAAATCAATTCATGTCAGTCCTTGTCACACACATACATATGTACATACAAACCTACTAAATGACGTTCATGTTGAGAGTGAGTGACATTGACCTGCCACATGAAACATGAAAAACAAATGCCAACTAAATATTTGTTTTTAGTCTTGCATTTCATTTTAATTCTATTTTAACTGCAAACTATAATTGTACATATTTGCAAGAGTTTATTTGTTTAATGAACATTTTGGTTTTATTTTTTTTACTATTTTGTAGTTGCTTTAAAATTTTAGAACAATATTTTTTGAGACTTTTTTTAAATATTATTTTGAAAGTTTCATTTTATATAAAAATTCTTGCTTCTAAAGTTCTAATGATTTCACTTATAGGTGTCCTGTAGATCTTACAAATACCTTATTCGAAATAGTCTAAGCATACAATAGTTTTAGAATAATCCAAGATTTGGAGTCCGAAGTTATCTGGGGCCTCCAAAAACTTGATTTTAATTAACAGTCTGACATACATTTGGTGCTGAGTTTTTTGCCAAAATGTTTCGAGATTGAATGAAATAATCATAAGCTTATTATTATTTTTTTATTTGGAACACACCTAGAAGTACTCTTCATCTCTTTAGAAAGCATATAATAGATTTAGAATAATCCAAAATTTGGAGTCCGGGGATATCTGGGACCTCCAAAAAAACAAACAGACGGACAGACATTTGGTGAAGAGTTCTTTTTTGCCGAAATCTTTCTAGATAGAATGAAATAATCAAAGCATACTAGTATATAAGATTATGTTTTGGTTTGGAAATACACGTTGAAACGCTCTTTATCTCTCTAGGAACATTCGACTGGGATGAATCAAGTTTGTTTCCAAGTTAACGCAATAGCATTTAAGGTAGAATAAGGAATAGCAAATGCATTACATCAGAGTAATCCAAAACTAGTCGCTTGCTGAAATTATGGGAATACTTGACCCGCAACATAGTCCTAAGTAATGCAGGCTAAGGACCATCGAATGCTCACCGAAGTTTATGGTAACTGTGTTCCAAAGATCTTTAAAATTTTCATACTAAAGACAAAGATCGCTTAGATCAGCTCAAAAAAGTTTAAAGACCAAGAAGAAGAGACATTATTCTACTGAAGATTGTTGTGAAACTTAACAAGAGCTTCGAAAGCTCTTTGGGAGAATTCATCTAAAGGTAGAGCAATTAGGTAAAGAGCAGCCGGTTTCTTCTAAAAGCATGAAAATTGTGTATGTTACGCAAGACGAGAGATCAGGGCATGTCCCAAATACTGCTTGAGTGCTATAAAAGAAAGTCATGTTTGCATAGGATAATTTTCTGCTATGATAGATGGATCCATAAAAATGCAAAGAAGATCGGATGTGAAGCCCGTCCAAACAGTCGAATCGACACCACAACAAAGTATAATCTTTGTTAAGCTTATCCTTTGTATTCAGTGGGACCAAAAGGATCCTATTTGGCCAGATTATTGAAGGGAATTTGTAAGGAATGCAACTGATTCATTTGGGGCAAGCATTGACCGAAAAACGTCAGAAATGATAGCGTTATATTTTATTGAGTCATGCAGCCATATGGGGGAATGTTTCTTAAAAACTAATTAGAAAAAAGTGATTGAGAAGTTATACCACATCCGCTTTACATTTGAAAAATTTCACTACTACTTGTTTTGATCAATGCAGAACGCTCTCTAAAGGGATAAGCTTCACTTCAAGACCGAAAAAATATCTCATTTTAAAAATTATTACAAAAAATCGCTTCAGAGACAATATTAACTTGAAAATGCTTTATTTCCTTAGTTTGAACGGAAATTTAGTTTAAGGCCCATTATTATAACTTGCCAATAACTAAAGTTAGGAAGTTATCGTACAGATAAAGTGTCCGATAAGCTAACGGGAAGATTACCTTACCTTACCTTTAACTATAACGTAAGTTTTAAGAATTTTTGTTAAATATGAAAGAAAAATGAATTAAATGTCAATTTTTATATGAAAAAGATTATTAAAGGCTAAAAGTATGTTACGGTTTTTGTATAATAAAAATTTATGTTGTAATAATGAATGTATTTAAAGTTCACTTTATTCCTTACTTTAACTAAAGTTACCTTTTACTATTACGAACAGTTACTTCGTACACCAGGACGTATAAAAATATTAAACAAATGCTTAATAAAAAAAAATAATCATACGCCCTCAGATCGAGTTTATGTATTTGATGCATATTTTTAGGTGCATTTAATGTTATGAAGAAAGCATTTAATTTTTGAAATTACTTTAAACAAATTATAATTAAATGTTTAAAGAAAATACATAAAAGTATTTTAATATTTTATGAAGGCGAATTTATATGTTTAGAGGAAATACACCAATTAATACTAAACTGTGCTTTTATGTGACAAATATTGAATGAATATCAATTCAACAACAATTTTTTTTATTATTATTAAAACATCTTTTTATAAATTACTTATATATTCCTAGCAAATTGTTCAATTATACAATTTTGTTTGAAAATTTCCCAAAATAACAACATATTTATTTAACACTCAGTCAAGCACATTCATTTATTTATTTCATTATTAAAGGCCATTCAAACAAGACAAATAAAATATACATTTAAAAATATATACGATGCCTCTTCTTTTTGCTCATTGTCACAATAAACAATTAAGTGAATTTCGCAAGAGAGAAAAGTTCAATTAAAAAATATATATAAATGAAATCATTTATAATTTTTCCATCTTTTTAACATGTTCAAGAGGGCACCTACACTGCCACCATGCCACTTCTACAGTTGTACAACTTAACAGTAATTTAAAATTGATTTCAAAATAATTTTATTTTTTTTTTTAAAAGCTACCAAAAAATAAGGTACCATCACCAGTACAATTACTTGGTATAGTATTTATTTTTGTGTGTGTGTAAGGGAGGGGGGAGTAAGACTGCTAGAGAGCCTGTTTATGAGTGAGTGTGTATGTATGAGTGTAAGTAATTTTGCCATCATAATTTTATCTGATAAATTAATTAAGTTGATAAACTGATTTTTTCTTTTTTTTGTTGTTGTTGTTGTTGCTCGTATTGAAACAAAATGACCTTCGAAAAATGGGTGTGTCGCTTTTGTAAAATATTGTTTTTTAATAGATGGCTTTTGTATGGTTACGCTGAAGCTGATGATGTTGATATTGATGGTGGAGCTGATGATGACGTTTGTATTGGGGATTTGCTGTTTGTTGTTTTTAATTCCTTTATATTTCTTTATGATAGAAGGTAAAACAAAAAGTTTTTTTTTTCTGTTTCATAATTTAAACAAATAAAGCAGAAGTAATGAAACCTAAATGAATTTGGCAAACAAACAAACGA